TAACCAGAAGAGAGGGAGATACTTCTGGGGATAGGAGCACATATCATTTAAAATAACAAGGCTGTTTCGCCTCACATCAAAATTAAAACAAGTAATCTGTGCTTTGCTCTCAGTTGTCACATTTGGTCTCCTTCAGTGGATGGCGTTCTCTCTTTCTTCTAGGCTTTAGGCGACACCCTGGAATATTTTCACACTTCAGAGCTGTGGAAAATGTGACGCACCCCTACAGCCAATGTCTGCAGGCTAAACGCAGGTTTAAAATATGCCCGACAGACACGGTGCTTACAGCTTTATTATGGGAATAGTCATGGCCGCGGCCAAATATGAGATGTAATAAACGTTCAGTCTCCAAGAGAAACATTCCCGAAGAGGCAGATAACGGCAAACTATATATTAGATTGTACCGCAAGCCTGGATAAGCTGCCGAGCGTCTAACGCCAGTGGAGTCAGTCTGAAGTTGAAGCTAAAAACCTGTTCAGCAAAATCCCAGTTCATCCTTTCCAGGGCATTTCCCACCCTCCCCCACCCCCACCCCCCAGGGGCTCGGTTGAAAGGAGAGATGATCTAAAATATGCACTTGGCCAACATGCCAGCAGCTTGAAGGGAGCAATGTAACCCAGACCTAAGCATTCTAATAAACACATCGAGCACTCATTGCCAACAAGCATGTCACTGGGCCACAGAACGCTGGCAAAGGGAAGCTCTGGAGTCTAGAGCCTCGGAAGGCCAGGGAGCACACTCAGGCTGGATGACTTACTGCGAGCTGAGAAGAGACAGCTTTGCAGAGGAGGGCCAGCCTCACCGAGGAGCGGAAAGCCCAGCTCCGAAGAGGTCCAGAGAGAAAGAGAGGGAAGCAAACGGGGGCAGGGGCGAAATGGACAGCTAATAGAACAAGACAAATATAAAAGGCGGAAAGGGTCAGAAGTAATTCAGGCTAAAGAGAAACAAACACTCAACCCTTCCCCCCAAACCAACTAGTTTTGCTGGTTTTTAGACAATGTTCCAAGAAGTAAGAGTTATTAAGTAAAATGAAGGTGTTAAATTTAAAGATGAAACTTGCCCCAACTGCCCACCCCCCCCACCCCCCCACCACTGCAAGGCTTCTTGCTACAAGTTTGGCTGTTTCTAAAGTTTGGTTGCTCCTAAAGACAGCTTTAAGGAGACCTGATGACTGGGGGAGGATGGGGCTTTTCACACCTGTAAAGATTTAGTCTCAGAACCCCACAGGGGCAGGTCTACCCTGGCCTACAGGGTGGCTATGAGTCAAATCAACTGAATGGCAGTCCGTTTGGAGTTTCAGAAAGCTAGGCTTATTCATGAAATGGGAATTTCTGAGTTTATTTGCATTTAGCTAATGCATTCTTTTTTTTCCTTCAACAAATATTTACTGGGTGGTGTGACTCGTTAGGGCACTGGACTGCTAACTGAAAGACTGGAGGGGTGAATCCACCCAGGGGAACCTTGGAAGAAAGGCCTGGCAACCGGCTTCTGGAAAAAACAAACAAACAAAACAAACAAAAAACAACAGCCATTCAAAGTCCATGCAGCAGTTTCCTCAGTTAGACAGGGGGCCGCGTGAGTGGGGGCTCAGTGATGGCTAGGCCTTTTGGTGACCAGCTCCTGCCTGCAAGAGGCTTACAGTCTTGTGTGGAAACGAGTCCTTGGTCAGCTGTGGACCATGAGGTGGAGGTCAAGACGAGACCAAGGGGCTTGGGGAAGGCTTGGGTGACCCCTTGTTGGATGAGACCCGAAGGACACATAGGAGGGCTTCTAGCTACGGAACAACTTCGTGAATTTTGCTCTCATTTTAATTAGACGCTTAACAAACCTCCAGGCAGTCCAAATTCCATCTGTATCCATGCTTTTAATATTAAAATACACTTTTAATGCAAAGAGATGGAGAGCTCTCGTTTCTCGGCAGAGTTTTCTGGACTTGCGTTGTTTACCATAGCTTTCTATGCTGCAGCGGCTCTCAACCTGTGCGTTGTGATCCCTTTAGGGGTCAACGACCCTCTCACAGGGGTCGCTCAATTCATAACAGTAGCAAAATTAGTTATGAAGTATCAATGAAAATAATTTTATGGTGGGGGGGTCACCACATGAGGAACTGTATGAAAGGGCCGCAGCATGAGGAAGGTTGAGAACCACTGGTCTACGGTATCACGGTTTTCCTTCTACGTCCAGCCAGGAGCATAAAGAACCACCACCACCAGGTCTGACCTGCTGAGCTGTGGGACGAGGTGCTGCTGTCTGTCGCTCTTCTCGTGCGTTGTTCCACTCAAGTAACCCAGCGCATGACAGAAGAAACACGTCCTGGTCCTGCGCCCCCTCCGCGGTGAGCTGGGGACCTGGCTGCTGTGACCTAGGAGCTTTTCACAGTTGGATCTTCAGAAGTAGATCACCAGCCCTTTCTTCCTAGTCTGCCTCGCCTGGGAGCTCCACTGAAACCTGTCCAGCTCTTGACAACAGCCAAGTCACTACAGACAGGAGGATTCACTAGAAGGTGAGCAGAATTCTCACTGCCTACTGGGTGAGTAGAATTCTTACCTTCCATGCGTAAAACCAGGTGGAAAAATGGAAGGTGAGAATTCTGCTATGGATAAGTAGTCCTCAAACCTGCCTTTGAGTAGATTCCAACTCATGGAAATGTTACTAGACACACACACACACACACACACACACACACACACACACACACACACGAAACTCAATCAGCCATCCCAACCAATCCACCGCTGCCGAGTCAATTCCGACTCACAGTGACCACACAGGACCAGGAGGGCTGCTCCACAGGGTTCCAAGACTGTGAATCTTTACGCAGGCAGATTCCACCTCTTTTTCCAGAAGAGCAGCAGGGGAGTTCCAACCACTGATCTTTCCGCTAGCAGCCCAATGCTTCATCCACAGTACCATTTGGGTCCCGTTGGTTTTTCACAAGGCCTTGACTTAGGATCATCACGGTCCTTTTACAGAGGGAGGACCAAAGGCAAGAGGCCCAAAGGACCTCTGCAAGGTCACACAGGGCCCCTCCACACTTCCTGCCTTGGGATTCTCCATTGAGAATTGAGATCATGTGGGCAACACCTCTCCAGCACACTCAAGACAGGCCCTGAGCTGTTACTAAAGTTATAACCAACAAAAGCCAAACCAGTGGTCGTCTGTCAGTCCTGACTCAGAGGCTCCTCCTGTGTCTGAATGGAACGAACTGACTGACACAGGGTTTCAATGGCATGTTTTTCAGAAGTGGATTGCCAGACCTTGCTTCTAAGGAGTCTCTAGGTGGGCTTGAACCACAAACCTTTCTGTTAGCAGAGCACTTAACTGTTTGCACTACCCAGGAAGCTAACTTACTTTCTTCTTCTGTAACAGACAGGAGTCTCTTTCCACCATTGGCACCAAAGGCCGCTGCTCCTAAGAGCCAGAAATTCTTACTTTGGGGGTGATTCGGGATGTTCCCATTATAACTCAGGGGAGTGTGTGTAGAAGTTGAGAACTGTAACATTCTTTTCTGAACGGGCTCTTACACACAGGTGTCCAGAGAAGGTTCCTTGTACTCAGTGTCTCTCTTGAAGAGCTTTGTGTAAAGATGACCACTGACACCCCTCACCCCCACCATGGACCAGCGTCCTGCAAGATGAGTAGCCTACACTTGACAGGATAGTGGGACCACTGCTCTGAAATATGTTCTAGCATGGGGTCCTCCCAGAGTACTTAAATCATGAGCCCAACAAACCTCTGTATCCCCCACCCCCACCCCTAGCTCTTTGCTTCTTCCCAGAGGCTGTCTGTGCTCGCAATGTAAAACTACGTGGTTAAGAACTGGTTGCAGGTGCTTGCCTCGACTGGATGGCAGCCTCCTCCCTCACACCTCTGTCTCCAGACATGCTCTGATCGCTACTTTTACCACCCGAGGGCAGAGCAGGCGATGAATTTTGTCACAGTCTGAATCTAGCTTTCATGGTTTAAATTCAAGCTCCATGGTTTGAATTCAAACAGTCTTCCTGGTAGATCTCATTTTTAAATGTCTTCAAGACCAAACTTCCAAAACCAAACAGGGTGCTGTCCTGAATGATAATCTGGTTTCATGACCTCCCCAGGACTTTCTAAAAATATCCAACAGCGGAGTGCGACAGTCTCTCTTTGAAACCAGGGGGGCGTGTGGTTGATAAACCAGTCACAGCGTTCACAGCGTTCCCCTCCCACCCTCCTCTTCTCACATTGACAAAAGCCTTCGCAGAACACCAAGAATGGGGTCTCCCCTTCTTGTACAACCTGCACCCGACTGTGACCGCAGACACTTGCTTCTCAAAGTCGACAGACACTTAGCAAGTCTTGGGACCCATTCGCATATCGACTTGAATGGAATTCTTCATTTGTTCACAGGAAATTACGTTAAGCACAGGAGAAACTGTTCTAATGATGCCTGGGCCAAGCTCTGGGAAAATGGGGCTGGCTACATACACAAGGAGTTCACTCAAAGGCCAAGGGTTTTTTTTAGCACAGATGTTTACATTCCCCCCTTCTATGAAAATGATTTTGCAGCCAGGATGATCAGAAAGCTCAGATGGCAGCTTTTTGGATCTGAAGATGTTTCCCAGGGACGTTAAGGGGCAATTATCTACTCTTGATTTTCAAAGCGAGTGCCAGTGTGAATGGCCTGGTCACATCTCAAATGGGTCAGCGAGGGAAAGACCCTCTGCAGTGAGGCAGGAGTGGGGGGACGCAGCCGAGGCTGAGACATCTGGACTGAACTACACGTATCTCGTTCGCTTCCGAGCTGTCTGTTTTCTGCCTTCAGAGATGCCTTGAGAATGACTTTTTAGCAGAAGGGATCACTTTTATTATCAGCTAAAGGGCTACAAAGGTTTCGACTACTTGGAAATGGAACACCGCAGCTGTGAAACTTGCCACCAACTGGTTTTCAAGGCAATGCGGACCTGTGGAAACAGCAGAATTAATAACAAAACGAAACAAGAAAACGACGAGACCTGAAAAGAATGGATTTTAAATAATGGCTTTATCACCTAGACAGCTGTAGAGCGCAGAGTCCAATAAAGCAGGGAGTCATTGAACAAATATCAACATTTACCATCCGACTTGATCCCTCTTTGAGGTTGACACGGTTTCACCACCTGGAAATGGATCCCACTGAACAATCCACACGATGGGCCACCCCGGTGTTTCTTCGGAAAAGTGTCCTCTGAAGAAAGCTCACCAGACCGCTCCATTCCAGTCTCCCAAAGCCCTTTTTCTCAATGATTCTGAGATACAGCCTAAGACGGCGAGCCAGCGCAGAGAACTTGAACACGTTGAAGGATGTGCACCCAGGGAACAACCGTCTAAGAATTGACAACCATATACAAGATGATCGCTTCTTCGCTCGAAGGCGGGGCCTTGCTCGCAGGATTTCATAATGAATTACCACCCATAAACGCTCTCCAAGAAAAGCCATGTGTGGCACCCTCCCTAGTGCCCCTCTGTTTCCCCTGTCTCCTTTCCTATCCCATTGGGAAATGGATCACCCCCTGGCTGGAGAAGGCACTGAAGAGCGCCCACAGTCTGCCAGGGTCCTCACAGTGGTGCTGCTGCGCCCAGTGCAGGAGTAGCTCCTCCCGCTGGCCCAGGGTCTGCGAGCACAGGAGGCAGTGAAAGCCCACGTGGGAGTGCAAGAGGACAGTGTCAGAGGTGGGATGCGGAGGGCCCTGGGGGTCTTCTGGCTCCCTGGGCCCCAAGTGGGCTCCTTCGGTTTTCATTTGTGTTTGCACCTTCTTCTGAGGATGAAGGCAGAGTTGCCTTTTCCAGTTAGGGCACACAGGTAATTCTTCCTCGGAGGGACAAGGCCCACCGAGCTTTCTCCTCTCCGGACACTGCTTCCCGTCAGGAGGAGGGTGTTTTGCCAGCTCTCCGGGAGCCCCTCTGCTTCCCGGGAAAAGGCCTTCCCGGAGTCGGCCCTGGATTTCCTCTCCATGGACATACAGTAGGTGAAAGTTTATTTCCGAGAAAGACTGAGTCATGATCTGACAGCGGCTGCATGTGATTTGTAATTTGACTTCGTCCACCCGATTTAGAAAGAGGTCTCCTTCGGGGCTTGAGTTGTTTTCCCTGAAGAGGAGAAGAAAAGAGGGTAAGATTGTGTGTTGGGGGGGTGGGGCTGACACCACATGAACATTCCTTTCACCTCGGACTCCTTGGGGACCGGAAACACACCCAGTGAGGAGAAACACAATAGGCCATCAAGCCGACTCCGGCTCCAGCGACCTCCTAAGTGTGTGCCAGAGTAGACTGGCACTCAGGAGGGTTTTCGATGGCTGATTGCGGGGGAAGTAGGCTGTTAGGCATTGGGTTTGCAACTGGATGTGCCAACCATTCACACGACCAGGACTCAGAGAAGTCTGGAGGATGGAGGAAACAGGGCACAGGCACACCTTCACCAAGAGTCCCCAGGAGAGCCACGCCTGCCTGGAGTCACACCCTCCTCAAACTCCCTGGTGTCATCATGCAGCCCCCAAGGTGGGCTGATTATTCTTTGATGACTGACAGCAACAGGTATTGGCGCAGCAGGGACATCCCTGGCTCTGTGGCAGGCAGCTTCCTCACCACCTGGCTGTGGCCCTCACCAACCTTAACCTTGAGAACGAATGCACACTGGCCGCTATTCTTACATATGAACACCCAGGGCATTCCTCTGTCTGCATAAGATGCCTTCGGAACCTAGCTTGGTTCTGGCCATTTGCTAACAGCGATTGCTGCAATCATTTTTAAAATGATCATCAGCAAAGTTTTACTTGCACGTAATATGACTGAATAGTGTCAAAACTCATTTAACGGTGTGACTATCATCTCTGCATGTTGCTATTAACAATCATGGACTATTAAAAACATTCCTCCTCAAACCAAAACCAAAACCCACTTAGGTACTTGAAGTAAAGCAATCTATTTCAACAGCATTTGTTCCAAACAGTTTGGAAAGTACTGGAGCAATCACCCCCATTCACAGGCAGACCCATGTCTAAATGATGCATGATTACATTTTCTTTGAATCTTATTTTCCTTAGTTCCAAATTAATAGATGTTCATTGAAGAACATTGGGAAAAAACAAAGTACCCTAATTCTATCAGCCATGTCAATTGCCTCATATGCATGTGAAAGTTGGACACTGAATAGGGAGAGCAGAAGAAGAATTGGTGCATTTGAATTCTGGGGCTGGTGAAAAATAATGAAAATACCATCGACCGCCAGAAGAACAAACAGATCTGTCTTGGAAGAAGCACAGCTAAAGTGCTCCGTAGAGGCAAAGAGGGTGAGATTTCATCTCACATTCCTTGGACGGGTTATCAGGGGAGACCAGTCCCTGGAGAAGGACATCATGCTGGGTAAAGTGGAGGGGCAGGGAGACGGAGGAAGGCCCTTGATGTGGTAGACTGACTCAGTGGCTGCAGGGACAGGATCAAACAAAGGAACAGCTGTGAGGACGGCAGAGGACTGGCTGCTGTGAGCTGGAACCAACCCAACGGCACCTGACAACAACAACAACAATTCTACCAGCTTAATACATAGAAATAGGCTTTTCAATTTGCTACTATAACTTCTTATATATACGTCTGTATTGACTCAACGGCAGTGAGTTTAATCTCTAATTTATATGTATGTGTATGCACCAAGCTTTTCAGAAAACAAACAGCAACAGCAACAACAGTAACAAAAAACCAAAACCTACCTAAAGGAAACTAATTAAGACATGAAGTTTTTTGAGGGAGGATGGTATTTAGGTAAATGAAGATATCTGATAGGGGACAGTAGCCCACAGCCAAGGCTACTGCCACAGAGTCAATTCCAACTCATAGTAACCCTACAAAGGGTTTCTGAGACTAAATCTGAATGGGAAAACATGGCCTCTTCTATCTTCCGCAGAGTGGGTTTGAACCTCTGACCTTGAGGTTAGCAGCTGTGGTAGTTACATAATCTGGTGCCAATTTGAGACTATTAAGAGTAAAGCGTTCCTGACATGATCGCTGAAGACAAAGTGGGTACATCAGCAAATGTGGTGAAGAAAGCTCATGGTGCCTAGCTATCAAAAGATATAGCATCTAGAGCAGGGGTCCTTAAACTACAGCCCGCAAGTCACATGCGGGCCGCTGAAGACATTTATCTGGCCCGCCGGGTGTTTTTGCCCCATTTGTTTTTTTTACTCAAGATATGTGCAGTGTGCAAAGGAATTTATTCAAAGTTTTTTTTAAAACTATAGTCCGACCCTCCAACGGGGCTGAGGGACAGGGAACTGGCCCCCTGTTTAAAAAGTTTGAGGATTCCTGATCTAGAGCCTTAACGGCTTGAAGGTAAACAAGCGGCCATCTAGCTGAGAAGCAAGAAAGCCCACAGAGAAGAAGCACACCAACCTGTATGATCACAGGTGTCAAAGGGATCAGGTATCAGGCATCAAAGAACAAAAAATCATATCACTGTGAATGAGGGGGAGTGCGGAGTGGAGACCCAAAGCCCATCTGTAGGCAACTGGACATCCCTTTACAGAAGGGTTGCGGGGAAGAGATGAGCCAGTAAGGGTGCAGTGTAGCACCGATGAAACATACAACTTTCCTCTAGTTTTTTTAATGCTTACCCCCCACCACCACTATCATGACCCCAATTCTACCTTACAAATCTGGCTAGACCAGACGACGTACACTGGTACATATCAGAGCCGGAAACACAGGGAATACAGGACCGATAAACCCCTCAGGACCAATAATGAAAGTAGCGATACCAGGTGGGTAAGGGGAAGGTGGGGGTAGGAAGGGGGAACCGATCACAATGATCTACATATAACCCCCTCCTTGGGGGACGGACAACAGAAAAGTGGATGAAGGGAGACATCAGACAGTGTTAGACATGAAAAAATAATAATAATTTATAAATTATTAAGGGTTTGTGAGGGAGACAGGGCTCAGGGGGAGGGGCAAAAAGGAGGGCTGATACCAAGGGCTTAAGTAGAAAGAAAAGGTTTTGAAAATGATGATGGCAACAAATGTTCAAATGTGTTTGACACAACGGATGTATGTATGGATTGTGGTAAGAGTTGTACAAACCCCCAATAAAATGATTTTTTAAAAAAAGAGTGAAGGGGTGGAGTTTAGCCTGTCAATCGGGTCACTGCTTTATGACCTCATTTGGAGGTGCTACAGAGATAGCTCGCGGCAGACACAGACATTCCCTGTGAGACATTCCTGTTGACAAGACACATGGAGCTACACTAGAACCCTGTAGCTGGAGGAGCCACGTGGAGACCCATCAGCGTTAAGATGCTTCCACTGCCACTGGATCCATAAGACTTTCCACCCACTGGCCTGTGATCTTCCTGCATTCAGCGTCATTGCATGTGTTGCATGAGTCTGAAGAGGAATTTATAGATTGGTATCAAACAAATAGGCTAATATCAGACTTACGGACTTCATCTGGACTGGGCTGGGATGTTTTCTTAAAGTACAATTACTCTTTGATATAAAGTTCTCTCTGACACAGATATCAGTGTCTCTGGATTTGTTTCTCTAGTCAACCCAGACTAACACAGCAGCCCACTAGCTAACCCCCAGTGTCATCAGGTCACCAGGGCCCCTTTTGAAAAGATATCCCTGGATCAGCTTAAAATGAGAGAAACTAGTGAAATGAGGAGAAAACTGGGCAGACCTCCACTATTTTTAATGAATGTGTCAGAGTATGTTAACATTGGATAGAAAGTACAATCCGCCTGTAGAATATCTGGATGATTGTGAATGATGAGGGCCAGAGAGGTAAGGTGTTGGGAGATGTTTCGCTTTCACGGTATTGATGATACTTTTAATGGAACCCCCTCATCGGCATGTGATGTGCAGGGAACACCCAGGATCACTCAGCTCTCAGCTCACCCACAGGGTGAGGCCCTGGTTTACTTTCTGTTCTTCTGCCTGACTGCCAGGCTTCCAAATAGCTTAGCCCGTTGGCTTATGATAGTAGGGCCTGCTAAGGGTAAGTGATTCAGGACAAGGCTAATCTGGCCTGATGGGAAAAAGAGGGTCAATGTCAGGGTTAGGTTGGGCTACCTTTGGTAAAGTCAACACAGCAGACCCACCGTGAGGTTCTGTCATGGGTCGGGCTGTGTTCTAGGGCAAATGTCACTGTTTACATGTAACATCTGTGGGTGTGATGTCAAGGGCTCGTGCCTGTAAAGAGGTCAGAGAATCATGTGCAAAAGCTTACAATTTCACATTTCAGATCCAAATGAATCTTCTCTCCTCTCACAGTAGACCTCAAAGTGGCATTCACGTCCTGGCTCACTGAGGTCAGAGCAATGAAATCCATGACCGCTCAGAAACCAGGGACAATGGAAGCCACTCTTCACAGCACTGGGAACGATCGGAATGAAGTTTTCCACTGGGAGCTGTTTTCACAAACTGCATGGCCTCAAAAGAGGGTGAGACCTGAGGGCCTCTTCCCACACTAGACAGGTTTCCTGGCCAGCCCCGGTTTCCACCAACACTCACCTCTCCGCTGCCTCCTCTGTCCCCTGGGTCTTCGGAAGGTCCCCTGGTTGCAGTTTGCCAGGGGAGGGCTCGGTGCTGATCGAGACCCTGTGCACCTCCTTCAGATGCCCAAAATAGACCCGGACGTGGCCGAACACTTTGGCACAAAATTCGCAGCACAGGAGCCTCTTGGGCCGGCTCTCACCGTGGTGACGCTTCATGTGTGTGCTCAGGCTGCTGGAATGGACGTACGTCTTGCGGCAGATGCGGCAGCTGTAAGGCTGTCTGTGGGTGTGCGTGTGCATGTGGTCTCGAAGATGCTGCTTGAACAGAAAGTTACGGCTACAGACCTGACATCTGTGCCACGGCTTCCTCGGGCCAGCGCATCCACTTCTGAAGGCCACGCTGGGCTTCGGGGAAGGGCCGGCAGTCGGCTGGGGGCCGGGGGCTTTCGGAGCCAGCAGGCCTCCAGGAGCGGGGGGCGGCAGCGCGGCTGCAGGTGGGGTCAGAGGAGCCAACGCTGGCGTGACGAGTACAGGCTTGGGCATGATGCTACGGTACTTTTTCACGGGTTTCTGGTTCCTGGGTTGTTGAGGATCATTTCTGACTCGTTCCTTATGGTCTCTACACTTACTGGGGAGGCATTTCCTCTTCTTCCCCGGGAGGGCCAGGATCTCCTCAGGTGATTTCTGTTTTCTTGCCCTTCTCCGGCTCGAACCACCATTCTGGGTTGTTTCGGGGCGGAGATCTAACTTGGGGGCTGGGCAGCGGGCACTTTCTGAGGGACCTGACGCCAGTGGGCCGGGGGTCTCGTCAGTCATTCTGGTGGCAGCAGGAGAGCCTCCTGTGACGGAGGGCACCCAGCAGCAGTCGGCTCTGTGCCCAGGGCTGGACAAAGTGGCCACAGGTGCCTCGGGCTCCCTTTTGCACAGGTCTGCGGTACTCCTCCTTGCATAGGGTAAGATGGGCAATTTCTCTTTGGGGACAGGCCAGAGCAACTGAACAGCACTGCCCAAGACGGCGGGGGGCAAACTGGCCATGGCTTTTGAGAGGTGGATGGTAGAAGGTTTGCTGCAGGCTTTCTTGCTCGCAAAGCTAGGTGTCCCTGAGACCCTCGGGTGGGCCTGTCCTGCTGGGGGCTCCCGTGGGCCGGGTGGTCTTGGTGGGGAAGGGGTGTTCACACCTCTCCGGCTGGAGGTCAGTGTCGGTCCCGAGGCTATGAGACCACCTCCGTCGGGCAGAGTGGTGGTGCCAAGGGTGCCTGGGGCCTCATTCGGGGACAGGGCTTGTTGGGATGATACGGTTTTGTGGGGACCATCAGGACGGCTGTGTGGGGGAGAGGACATCTGAGGACGCGCCTGGGTTTGGACCTGTGGCTGGCTGTGGCTCGTTCTGGACGCTTTGCTGTTTCTAGGGGGCTGGTACCGAGGAATCGGCAGCTTCAGGTTCTCGGGCAGGGGTATTCTGGGCTTCTGTGCTGAGGGGACGGGTGGCAAAGCGACCAGGGAAAACGTCCCCTCCTGGCCGGTGAGCTGCATCAGGGCGTAGTTCTGGGAAGGCATCACCAGGGACGTGGGGCCGATGGCGGGCCCTGGGCTCGGGTGGTGGGAGGATGGCAGGGAGCGGCACGGCAGCGCTCTGGAGGCCGGGACTTTAGGCACGATTTTCGGGGCGATGGTCCTAAAGTGACTCTTGGTCTGCCCGCCTCTCCCACTCGGTACTGTTCCAGATTCCCCTGCAGGGACGAGACAACACAGAAGGTCACTGTCCCATGACAGTCTTATTTGCCGGGAACGCAAACCAGCACTGTCATGTTTACTCTGCTCGGACTGCAAGTTTAAAGGTCCCCTCCTCTCCACCCGCCCCTGGTCTCTTCTTCTTCTTCTCTTCTCTGATTTCTTAAGACAAACACAACAGAAAAGCCAACCAGTTGCCAGTGAGTTGATTCTTTTTTTTGTTTAACATGAGAGATTTTATTTTATTTTTTTAATCATTTTATTGGGAGCTCATACAACTCTTATCACAATCCATACATATATCCATTGTGTCCAGCATATCTGTACACTTGTCATCATCATTCTCAAAATATTTGCTTTCTGTTTGAGCCCTTGGTATTAGTTCCTCATTTTTCCCCTCCCTCCCTGCCCCCCTCTCCCTCACAAACCCTTGATAATTTATAAATTATTACTGTTTTGTCAGTCTTACACTGTCCGACGTCTCCCTTCACCCACTTTTCTGTTGTCTGTCCCCCAGGAAGGGGGCTTTATGTAGATCCTTGTAATAGGTTCCCCCTTTCTAGCCCCCTTCCCTCTACCCTCCCAGTATCGCCACTCCCACCACTGGTCCTGAGGGGATCATCTCTCCTAGATTCTCTGTGTTTCCAGTTCCTATCTGTACCAGTGTACATTCTCTGGTCTTGCCGGATTTGTAAGGTAGAATTGGGATCATGATAGTGGATCATGATAGGGGGGGGGAGGAAGCATTTAAGAACTAGAGGAAAGTTGTATGTTTTATCATTGCTACACTGCACCCTGACTGGCTCATCTCCTCCCCACGAGCCTTCTGTAAGGGGATGTCCAGCGGCCTACAGATGGGCTTTGGGTCCCTGCTCCGTACTGCCCGACATTCTCAATGATATGAATTTTTGTTCTTTGATGCCTGATACCCGATCCCTATGACACCTGTAATCACACAGATTGGTGTGCTTCTTCCCTGTGGGCTTTGCTGCTTCTCAGCTAGATGGCTGCTGTTGATTCTGACTCACGGGACACCCTCTCCATCAGGGACTTGGGCTCCAGCGGGCTTTCATGGCTGGGACCTGACAGGAGCAGATTACCAGGCTTTCCTTCCGAGGCACCCCTGGGTAGGTTCCAACTATCAAACTTCTCTTTAGTAGCCAACTCCCTTCACCATTTGAGCCCCTCGGAAACTCCCTAGCTCTGGAGCACCTATTACAGCCCTCTGCCTTTCCCCACAAGACTTCGTGTTTTAAGCATGGTTAGGCGCGTCTGTCGTACTAAAGACGGGGCTTCTTGAGAGCTGGGCTTTGTCCTTCTCGTCCCCGATCCCCACCATCCAGCTTCTCCATTTATGGACTTCTGATTCTTCTCTCCAGGCGCAGGGCACACCTGTCTCCCTCTCTCTGCCACTGCATTTTGGGAAGCTCCCCCGCTGGCCGCCCTCTCTGGCAGGCTCTGGTGGGCATTCCATCTGCTCTGTGTGCCCAGGCCTTACTCTCTCTGCTCTCTGAGCACGGCGCCGGCCTTTGATTCATTTTGCTATGTCTCACCGCACCTTGTCGTCAAACCACTGTTTCTTGTCCCAGACTCATATGTCACTCAGTCTCAGGAGGCGCCACGTGACCCACAGGCAGCGCAGTTTGTTTTGCGCCGTGGCCGCGTGCCAGGCTCGGAATGCCCACTCTGGGGGCCTTTTCTTTCCCCACGTGCCTTGTAAATGTCTCCTTCACACCTTCCCCACTGTTTCTGTGTGCTTGGGACATTACAACCCTAGGATTGAAAGGGCGGATGTGACGCCTTTTAAAAAATATGTTGAAGACAAACAAAGGTATGAAGTACTAAGTAAAGATACTGAGACCCCCCAAAACAAGCACCCCACCCAACTCACACAGAAAGCTCCTTCCAGGCCACTGATGGGCACCACGCTCCCTGTCCGCTGGATTTGTCCACCTGAACGAAGACAGATCACCACGACTCACAGAGGAAAATGAACACAACGGTACACGGTGTTAATGGAGTGGGACCTCTACTCTAGTTCTGTAATCTTCAAGGTCCCAAGGCTGGCTGCAGAAAAGTAGCCCTTCCCCCAGTCCTCCTCCCCTAATTAGCGCTGTGATCTGTTCGGTGTGATTTTGAGCTCTCAGAGGGGTCCTTTTTAGAGGGAGCCTGATGGCATTCCAGGGACTCTGGCTCACAAGGACTCACAGGTGAAGTCCATTAGCATCTTCCCCTACCTCCTTACCAGATCCATGCAGGGAGAAGGTGTTTGGTGGGAGTTAGAGACTTTGGCTTGAAGAGCCACAGTCAGAAACCACTGCCCCTGCACAAACAAAAAGTACCGTACATACTAGAGTATAAGCCGACTCAAGTATCAGCCGAGGCACCAGTTTTACCATAAAAACTGTATAAACCAATGTGCTGAAAAACTCGGCCTATACACAAGTATATACGTAATATTGGAGGAAGGAGGTTGAAAGGAGTCTTGATCAACTTGTTTTAGAAAAGCAATCAGGGTGTGATGACGAGAAGGGATGCTTTGAAGGAAGTATCATGTGGTGGCGTGCGCTGGATACTAGAGATGTCAGATGAGGCCAGTTATGCCAACTCCTTCCTTTCCTCAAAGGCCTGTGAACTATGAGGCTCACAGGTAGGCTAACTGGTCCATCAGTCAACTAGCTGGGCCTGTTACATTCACTTCTTCCTACAGAGTTTCTGTCTTTTTTATTCTATTTTTAAAGTCTTTGAACTTGAGTGGCATTCATCTTTGTGCTGTGTCGTCTCCTCTGTTGGGAAGCGGTGCTGAGGTAAGTAGCAAATACACGAATTAAATCAAGATTGAGTGTGTGGAGAGCCGGAAATAACGGATGGCTCTTGGTTACCTAGACACAAGGCTGATGAAAACATGGCACGAACATCGCGGCATCCAAACAACAGATTCCGGGTGGGGAAGAGAGACGAGATAACCCTGAGTGATCATATCTAGCTCATACTCCTAGTTGAATGAACAGAAGAGATTTCTAGTAGGAAAAGCTGAAAGAAAGGCGATTTTGTCTTTAGTGATGTCGATACTACATCACAGCAAAAGGCCACTCTCCTTGTTTGATTGTAACTGTCCAACGGTTCTACGTTTCTACAAACACACCAAGTCCAAGGGCCTGAAAGCCTCACCATCTGGTTCCCGGGAACCTCGTGGATTTCTATCTTCTCTCTCTCCAGCCAAGGTCCTGACCGGTCAGACTAGGAGATGGTGGAGGAAGATTGAACCCATCCAGAGATTATCCATTTGCTTCCACGAAGGCCACAGCCTACAGCACCCTCTGGGGCAGGTCTCCGCGGTCACGTGAGGGTGCCGTGGCCAGAATGAACTGGACGCCATCAAAGGGCAACGTGTTCCTTCCTCGGAGCCTGCGGATTTGCTGTCCCCATTTCCCAGAATGCTCTTCTTTGCTGCAACCCCCCCAGGCCTTGCTCCATTGCTATTTTTGTGGTTTTCTTCAAATGGCCTTTGCTTGTACACGAATCCCTTACCAGCCTAGTGCAACCTGAACCTCCATTCTGGACCCACACTTCTTCCCCTTTCCTGCGCCAACGTTCTCCACAATGCTTCCTGCATCTAGTACGTTAGTCACGGTCTGGAAAATGCCTTCCTTGGGGGCAGGGGTTTTTGTCCCTTTTGTCCCTTGCTGACTCTTCAGGGCCTCCAACGGGTGCCTGGCACATGGCAGATTCTCAGCACACACGTGTAGAATTGGTAAGTGGTGATACAGTGATGAATGGGAGGTATGAAGCATTTAAAGATGGAGCTGAGGGAGCCTTCTTGAAAATGGAAAGAAAAAGAACAGAATTCACAAGAGAATTTTTATCCCTCCTCAATTTTGAAGATGATAAAAGAGGTAGAAGGCATCGCACTGGAACATTATTTCCTAAAAATCTACTTCCATTCACTGCCAGAATAAAGAACTAGCTAGCTAGGGTAACATCACGGGGAACCCCTCGATGATAAAGAAAGAAGATTTTAAGAGGTAGAGGTGAGGCCAATTAACTAACCACTTAAGGAAAGAATAAAAGAGCACAGCACATGCTGCTGCTGGGGTACACACACGGAACATTTTAAAAGTGCTTGACGGAAAGCGGTAATGCATAGGGACAAGAGTAGGGCGGGGGGAGGTGACGAAGGGATGAAGACCACGTGGCAATGGAAAAACCGAACCTCAGGCCGGGCAGGGTCACGCCAATGTGATGAGGAGCAGAGTTAACAGAGAACAGAAGGTGCAGCTGAAGCAGCAGCCAGTGGTCCAGGTCACCCTCAGTCTCTGAAGACCTAAGTCAGGAAGGAGAACAACCTTCTGACAGTGAAGGCTTCCAGAAATGAAACTCGATATGCTTCATAGGGCTGTCCCCAAGGGAGTGGGCTAGTCGTGATACATTAGACGTTAAGGTGCCTCCCCCATAGGCAAAACCCGCTTGGTGTGAGTGGCTATAGCAGCGCACAGGAAGAGCGATGGCATTCAAGGGCAAAGGCAGCTTACTGCAGCCAAAGAGCAGAGGAAACCCCTTACGTACTAAGCTCTGTTGCTGCAGGAAGGACACAGATCAGTGAGAGCTGACTGGGCAACCTGAAGCCAGAGTCCTGCCCGAGGCCAAATGGAATCTCTTCTCCTCAGGCCTCAACCTCTGAAAGGAAGTGGACTCCGGCGTATAAAAGCATCATCAGCTGGACCCTGGTCATTCGTCAAATAGAATCTGTGGGGCGAGAAGGCCTCATTGGGTCTACTGAATGTATTCCTCCTTGCTTAAATCCATCAGGAAGTACACACGAGGGTGGGTAGCCAAGGCTGGGGTGTCGAGTCCCATGTCCCAGAGCCATTAGGGATGAAATGATTGGGACTGAAAGCAACATTCTAGGAGACCTGCAAGGCAGAAGAAAAAGGGCAAGACAGAAGGCAACAAAACATCCTCCAGAGAACCGTGCAAATGTGGATCAGTAAGGGACTGA